AAAATCAAAAAAAAAGAAAGAATTCATTGAAAGAAAAAGTTGCTAAAGCCAGATAATTTTTAGTAAAATTCAGGTTGTCTCCGAACACGAGCTCACTGCCTTCAGGTACAAGCTATATTGAAACAACAACAATGAGCATGATTTATATATGCAACTTTTCTGTAAGCACTAAAAAGTTCCTACAGCAAGTCAGCAAGTATGCACATGAAACAAAATCAAAGAACACTTCACAGAATAGAAAAAACATACAATCGAAAATGATATCATAGCCAGATAATTTTTCTGGACCACTGTCTTTGGCTTCCCTTCTCCTTTCTGTGACCACTATCTTTGGCTTCTAGTCTATAACAAGAACCAAGTGAACAATATAAATCAATATTTAGGACAATTTATCCACATTACAAAATCAACACAAGAAGTGAAACCTTTATGTAAAATTGGCCTTCACCCATGGTTGGTCAAGGTACACTAGGTGGAGAGGAGGCTAACCCATGTGGTCCGTGATCGTGGGACGGCCGGACGGCGCTGGAATTTGCAAAACTCGAGGCGAGGTTGCTTTTGCTGATTGGCTGATGAATGGTTGGAGGTGATAGAGAGAAGTGAGACGAGGTTGTTGGTGGTGGAATCCGGCGGTGAGGCGAGGTTGCTTTTGCTGATTCTTCCAATTGGTGGTGGAAGGATGGGAGGTGATAGAGGGGAGTGAGGCGAGTTGTCTGTAGATTCTCCCAATTTCAGTTTTCATCCAACGTTTTCCGCGTTTTCAAATTTTTGAGGTTTTGACTAGAAAACACTCAAAACGACCGTTTGGTCGTTTTGAGTTTTGTGTACAAATTTTTTTTAGTTTTTAAAAACGCATTTCAAAAATAGAAAAGAGAACGCATTTTCACTGTTTTGAAAAATCGAAAACAGAAAACGATCCAAAACGGTCAAAGAGAACGGCCCCGCTTTGCCTTTTTTGCGCTTTTTTCTTTTTTTTCTTTTTTAATACGTGCCTAGCACACGTTTTTTATGCCTTTTTCCTTTAATTATTAAATAAATTTTAGATTAATTTAAAATTTTAAAATAATATTAAAATAAGATTTTTTTACACTTTTTAACACCTAGACTTCACCTAAGCTCTTCTAGACCGAAACTCGACCTCCACGCTTTACGCTTTTTAGAACGCTGCTTCCATATAATTGTCCACCCACAAATCAAAAACTCCTCAAATTTTAAAGAATAATGTTACTCAAATAGGGATTGCATACGAGAGCGGGGGAGAGCATGTGTGGCTAAGTTTTTTTTTTTTAACTGTACAATGATGTTGCGCCACGTGTCCCATTGTTTTTAATTTGTGTCACTGAGCCTGTTTGTGTAACACGATTGAATTTTAAACTACTCAAATCACAACATTTCAAATATCGAGCCGATAAGTGAAACAAAGTAGATGAACGGACTCAACAACCAACGTGTCATAATTTGAGTAATTTAGAATTCGAGGTGTCATGATTTGAGTAGACGGTTCAACTACGTGTTTATACGATGTATCATGCTACATGTACCGAAATTTTTTTATCGAATCTTTTACCCACTACTTAGAATGGGAGTGGGGACCACATTGTCGAAATTTTTAAATATACGCGGGCCCGTACATTATGTAAGAGGTGGGGTAATCCATTATGTACAAACGATTATGTATAAATGGATTAACCCTTATAGGATTGCCTCACTAAAGTCAGCAATGAATTCAAAAATTCAAGTGAGCATGGACAACCGCCAAATGACCACTCTATAAAGGGAAAAAAAAATTACAGCGGAGCCAGCATGGGCGGCCGCAGGAGCTCGCCGGTGCTGGCTCCGCCCCTGACTAAAGTATTTCGATCGTAACTCTCCTAACTTTTAATCTCATAGGTTATAAATATTGTAAATATGTATTGTAATTTACTTTTAATCTCATAGGTTATAAATATTGTAAAAGTGTACGTGTATTGTAATTTGTAATGAATACGTGAAGAACAGTTTTGCCTCTGCACATACATAATTTTGCCTTTTATAACGCAATGAAGCATTGTCAGCACGAAGTATGTTGTGTTCACATTTTGTGGTTATAAACAAAATATTCAAAAGCCCCTACTCAAAACATGCAAGAAGCTGTCCTCTCACAGAGGCCGCAACAAAGGGTAATCTTCAAGCAATTCTTGTTCCGATAAAGTGTCATTTTCGTTCTGGGGAGTCCATAACACCTCGACTGCCTGCAAGTAGACAACTGTAAGTGAGACATGGGAAGAAATGAAAATTAAAATCAATGAGGAGTCGAGTTTCAATTCCAACCAGTGTTCTGCTTGAGGGGATAGAGCCGAGTTTTTGTAAGGCTTCCTTCAAATCTCTACTGTTGTTAATAGATGGCAGTTTATGTACTCCTTCGGCAGCCACCAATACTGTGATCTGAAATCATAAATATTCACAAACAGTGATAATCAGAAACACTTGAGAAAAGATGTTGTACAACAAACAGTTAGATTGCTCGAATCTCATTGTAGTGTTTGCCAAGAATAGAATTACCAGTTAACATCATGCTTGAACAAAAAATAAGATGTAAGCTAACCTGACTACCTTCCTTATCAGAAAAAAAGCTAAAAATGAAATATGCATTATGGTTTTGATCTTCAAGAAAAGAAACAAATTGAGCAACTTTAAAAACAAACAGTTCAACTTCTAATCAAAACACATCAGTTACCAATCTGGATGCCGTTTGGAAGAATGATATTCCAATTATTTTTTTTGTGATTGATGAGGTGGGTAGTTTATTTGGGGTGGATGCCTCCTAAAGAGTAACAGAGGTGTGCGAAGGTGAGCTCAAGCAACGATTCTGCTTGTGAGTGTAATGGTACAAGCTGTAAGACCGACTGGTCAAACAGAGACGAAAGTCTACCATAGTGATCCGGGAGTCCCGTGTGGATTGGCTCTCGCTCAAAGGATCAAATGTACGTGATGCGTGAATGGGAACAGATTACAATAATTATTCCGGCCAAAACTCGAATTTTCAAAAATGAACAAGGAAAACATTTGTGACAAGTTGTAAAGATAGATGCCAACTGAAAATAGAACTTCAAAAGCATGGACTTCTCTATCCAATTCAAGGTTAAGATCTAATAGGGTGTTTGGGTAAGGTGGACTCAACAATAGACAACAATATTAAGAAAAAAATAAGTTGAAATCTTTTCCATTGTAGTGTTCACTCCTGTCCACACTATGCACAAAACATGTCATCGAAGCTTTTACTTGAGCATAAGATTGACCATTAAGCATCAGCTTACAACAAACAACATAAAACATATCACTAAAAGCTTTTACTTGAGTATCAAATTGACCATTAAGCATCAGCTTATCATAAACTAGCTCTAATACCTTAGACCAAACAAGTGAAAACTGGATAATTATATGTTCGTGATCATTTTGCAAGCTCTTACTTGACTCAACCAAGTAATTGCAAGACCCAGAAAGCTTCTCGATATTTGCAAAGGAAAATGGAAACAAGCTCAACACTCAGGCACCCTTTTAGTGGAATAACAAAGATACGACTTGCAAAGGCAATCAATAAAACCAAAGGCAGCTACAAAATGAGATGCATTTTGACTGGATTCATTTGATGATTGTAATCCAGTTTTCCCATCTCAATCCTCTAGGATCCACTCACCTCCAATAATAATAATTTAGAGTCTGAAAGTAGCCTTACCACTATGTATTCATTGCTAAAACCAGTTGATCTCTGGCTGCTTGTACTTTTTTTCTTTATGTTATTCACATTAACGAACGTCTCCTCATCAAATTTACCACGTTCTTCAATAGAAAGTTGATTGAATCTTTTTTCTCCTTGCTCGGGACTCTTTTTCACGTCAACCTGCATTTGCATGACAAAAATAAAGTAAGTCTTATGTATAGCAATCCTAATCAAAAGAGTTCACATTGCACGGTAAATTTATAAGATAATGCCCTTCAATGTTATGCACAAGTCCAGTTTCAAAAGAAATGGTAAGAGTAAGCAACAAATCTGAATTAGGGAAAATTAGACATTAAATAAGAGAGTGCATGCCAGAATATATTTATTCCCGAGAAAGGAACCTTTGCTACAGAAGAATCGCAGCAAGTGCTCTTGACAGAAGAAAAACTACAAAACAATCTTTACCGTGTTCGTATCATTAAAGCAAAATCAGAAGAACCATATCTTAAGTATGCTCACTGCTATCCTCCTCATCACATACAATTTGGGTATCAAAGAACTGTCGCAGCCATATTATAGATTAAAACCTAACCATATTTATAGTGGAATAAAATCAACTCAAGTAGTAATGGTCAACCATCAGTTAATTATTTCATTTTATCAACTTGATGAAAGTTGAAATATTGTTCTGCTAATGATTTATTCTCGAAGTATTAGATGTGTGTGGTTGTATTCCTTCCATTTTTACTTCTTTTATTCTAATTAATTCGAAGTATTATCAACATACAACTTTAGAAAGTTGTAAAGAAATTCTTTTGTGAGTGTATATTATATAAATACAAACTCAAAATCACTAGAAAATGTCTATACAAAGACAGGGAGAGAGGGGGAGAGAGAGAGGCTCCGCATACGAGATACAAAGAACAAAATTTAGCATTATTGTAACTAACTGGATACCAAATCAAACTTTTAGTTTATCTCAAAAAAAAAAAAACATAACTTTACAAAGAGTGCAATAAGACCTTTTGTCTTAATAAGTTGATTTTCGTAAATATATACATAGAGGGTGAAAAATGCATCAAAGAGTGAGAGGAATAGGAAAATATGAAGTACAATATCTTAATTTATATTGCTAGCTTGTGTCTTCATATTTATATGATAGTCAAAATATAAATCATGATTATATTTATGAATGCAATGTAGTTTTAACTTGCAGTATGGTTTAACTAAACACATAATGCCATATGATGGCCTCCAGCACTGTGAATGATCAACAGCTGATCATATGGCCGTGCCAAAGAACATCAAATCAAGAATATAAAACTAATTCAGCCTAAATTTTGGGGAAATGAGGAAGATAAAATATGTCATCATTACAGTCTGAAGGTTCAGTAGTAGCTCCTACATTATATCATATAATGAGTTTACAAAATAAACTAAATAAAGAGTTATGCGAGACAGTGGATGTGTTTCAACTTACAGATGAATAGGCAGAGATGCAATAATCAGGATGCCGAAGCAAAGCTAGCATTGTCTCTGCAATCAAAATTTAAACTGTTTAGTTACAGAATGATGAAGAAAGAAATTAAAATAGTGATATACAACTTGCATAAGGTTTGAAGTGTCAAGTTGATGTAATGAATTGGCCGAATTGAAACCCGGGATCATTAAAGAGCATGTTTAATGTTAGTATTCTCCAATTCCTACTTCAAACTTGGGGAAAAAAACAAATCATAATGCTTTCTGATGTCATATTTTGTACGTTAAATAACCCAAAATGCGTCATCCAAATATAACATTACATGTTTAACAAAGTGCTTTTTTAAAGTTTTATATAAACCTTTCCAAATTTTAATACCTAGGCTTCGAAGCTTTGAATAATTAAAAATTACCATAAATGCATCATCATATGATAATTGATCTCTTTTTAATAGAAAATAGAATTTTATCCAGAGGCAAACAGTAAGATGTGAAGTAAAATCAACAAGTCCTCACCAAGAGAAAACTGAAATAAAGAATGCAAATAAAACAGTCAAGAAAGCTTCCCACCTCATTGCAATCAGTCAGGCCCACAAAAGACACGTGCATTTTAGTCTATGGTGATCTTACACTGTAACACATAACTGCATTTGGTCTGCTGGGAAGCATGCTATTTAAAAATTCCAGCATTTTCTTCAACCAAATGCGCCAAGTAATAGCCAGCAAAGCACACCATTAACATGTCTTACCATATTATATTCCTTAAATGACTAACGCATCATTCAAGTAATGAGGAGATACTATCGTTTATCTGGAAATTGTCAACGAGAAGCAAGAAATCTGATATCAAAAGTCTCTCAACCCAAACATTCAGGGTCAGTCGCTGTTTCTCTTTTGTTCCCTTCCCCACCCTTCTCTACAGAGTACTCTACCCCAAATTATACATGATAGGAACCTACATGTTATATATTTGCAAAGCATATAAACTGCATTGACAATTGAATCATGGACCTATTGTGCTTGCTAAGCATCAAATTAAAAGCTTATTGGCATTGATATTTGATATGATATTTAAAAATAAAGTTAAAACCGTATTCTTCAATTTTTCCATAATTTCTACAAGAGGGATCAGTGTCCCCCATGTTACCAAAAAGAGGGCTACTTAAGATTTGAAGAAGATAGTAGAAAGAAACTCTGCCACAAAGCTTCCACGAAGGTGACTATCTCTAAAATATTCTAACATTAAAGAACTTCATAGGTTAAGTCATCAAACCATAAAAACACTACCTTTTAATTGCAAATTTGATAAATCGTTTAAGTCTTTTGGGAATTTTTTACTACAAGAAAACTTCTCAAAAAAGCACAAAACATATGTAGAACAGAAGAAACTTTAAAGAGTAAGTGTACGACATGTGCATGATAAACATCTTTTTCTAGATCATCACAACCAATAGAAACATCTCTAAGAGAACTTTACTATTACTATTTTTAGGGATACACGCATTTATCAAGTTTTATAATGGCAATGATATCATGTAAAACATTAAAGTTCATGAATATTTCAGCGTCATCTTTCGATCAGTGTTCTAAAATGCGCGCAAATGCACCGCCTAGGCGCGCATAGGCGCGATGGGCGTAGAAAACGCGTCAAATTGGGCAATGCGCGTAAAAATGCGGTCAACAGTTTTTGTTGACCGCCTAGGCGCGCATAGGCGTCTCAATGCGCGCATCAGGCGAGCCTATGCGCGCCTAGGCGCGCATTAAGACGCCAAAAAAAAATTCATAAGATATAAAAAATTATTATTTTTAATATAAAAATCTATGTATTATATTAAAATAATATTAAAAGTACGAAACGCATTATGACGCCTATTCTGCGCATTGACACGCTTAAACTTGTGATTCTTGATTCTCGACCTCGACGCATCGCAATGCATTACGCATTTTAGAACATTGCTTTCGATAACATTTCTAACCTAATCTAGAGTGAAGCACATCATCTTATGTCGACAACCTAAAAGCAAAAGCTAAGATGATAAAGTAATTATTAAAAATCATATGATAAGAACGTTACCTGTCAATACATAATGTAGACCATCAGAGCTGGATGTATCTGCAGTTTCAGCTATTCGGTTGAGATCTGTTTGGAGTGATCTCCCCATGCCCAACAACCCAACCTTTAGATATAAATAATACATTAAAAAAAAATAGTATAAAAAATTAATAAAACGATGGAAACAAAAAATAAAATGAACCAATTGTACAAAAGTTTCGTGAATGCCTAAAAAAGGGTCTCAACTGAATTTACCACCACCCACGAGTACAGGAAACAGGTTTGGATTTGCTTCTTTCTAAAATAAATTACTCAAAATCTTCAACTGAGGCCCACCAATCAACACGTTAGTTTCCTAGTGTGTCCAAAATTATATCCTTTGCATGTGATCCAAATTATGTAGCTTTTCAAAGCACACTTCGGTCATATTTCTTCCTTTCACATTCCATCTTACCTCCTCACAGTCTATCTTCGTATAAATTGGCCAGTGCCCACCTAAAATTTCTATATCAGGGTCTACTCATCACAATATTCAGCCACGCAACACCCTTTACACATCTAGTTCCTCCTAATTTTCCCTTTTCTTTTGTAGATATTAATAAGTACCTAAATAATGGAACCATTACCACATAGAGTAACAGAGCTTCCACAATTCAACTATTTATCGTAAAAAGTGATAAAATATTGTAAGCCAATACAAACTGAAAGAAATCAACTCGGACTACACATTATCCACCAGTAATATTCAAATGAATCGGTCAAGGTATCAAGTTTGTGCACCAGAATTTTACCTGCAGCTTGAGCACACTTGTTTTCTCAGTGGCTGTGAGCACACCGCCCTCAGACCGGTCTGATAAGAATCCAGAGGCCAAAACAAAAACTGCGAAACCCATTATTATCAGGAATAGACTCGACCCACCCACGGCAGATCCTACATAAACCCCTCCAAAGGGAGATGGTCCGTAATACGGCGCAGAATATGAGAAACCAGAACCCGACCCCGTCCTCGGCACACTATAACTCCTTGACGACGACATTGATGACCTTGATGAGAATGAACTTCCACCCACCCTTCCGCCCGATGCTGCCAATGCAGAAAAGGGATCACACATCAATAATAAACCCACAAGAAAAGCCGCCACCACCGGTTTTTGCAAAGTCTTGAGTGCTTTTAGCACGTTTGTGGCCACAATCTCTATTGGGTTTCTTTCTTTATTTATCATTTCTGTGAACATTTCCTTATTTCTAAGGGTACTAGCATTATTCTTGCAGCAATTGATAGAGAAAAGTTTCACGTGAAGTTGTTTGGAAGTTTTCCGAATCTTGAAGTGGATAAACGGAGGGTGGAGGTGTTGAATTTTAGGGAGTTTAGAGTGTAATAAAGGGTTCCATTTGAGGCTTGGTTCTTGTAGGAAAAGGGTCGGGGTAGTGGCCATTAGCAGTTTGCGTTAATTGAAGATGATGACTCGCTGTAATATGATTTGAGAGGTTTGAGGATAAGAATGAGGAATGATTGTAGGTTGCATTCAGAGTTGAGATATGTCTGGTGGGAAATTTTCGTGGGAATGGAATGGTCTATGTGAAGAAGGACCCATTTCTTGTTGGGGGAAAAAATCAAATTAGGAAACAAAAATTGACAAAACATTGCATTTGTCCATTATTATGCTGATTTTATTTGAAAATTACTTTTTTTCATACTCATTTTTAATTATATATTCTTAAAAAAATGGTGTCCACACCATCCACAAGTTGTTCCACGTGAATGTTTGAAATATTAAATGGTTGAAATCAAGAATTAAGCCACTTGTACAAAAAAATTCTCAACGAAAAAATATTTTCTTAAAAAGAGTGTGTTTGGGAGAAATTTTTGTGGGGTTTTAATCAAAATTATAGCCGTTAAAGTCAACCTGTGGACTCCACCTGTGAGAGGGAATGTCAAAAATGGTGACTGATTTGATAGTTAATGGCTAGATTTTTGATTAAAATCCTGATTAAAATTTCTCTCAAACGGGGCCAAAGTTTACTTTCACGAAAATTATGTGTTTTTGGAAGTTTGAAACTAGTGATCCGAGCTCCTTAACACTTCTACTAGGCATTAGCTACCCGGACTTCGCTACAAGTACAGGGATTCAAAATCCCTGTACTTACAGCGTGGACACAACATTTGGGAGGGAAATTTTTTTTTTTTCAATATTTTATACATGAGTTCACTCTATGTGAGTGGGAATTCAAAATTTTGGTAAAAGTCTGATAAAATTCATATGTACTTGAAGCATTTTTCCTAGCGACCCTCCTACAAAGTATAGAAGCATAATTTTGTGTAAAAAAACATATTAATGGACCCATTCCCTCATCGCATCCCACCCCTCTCTCTATTTCTCCCCCCCAAGTTTGCAAAACTAGATATACCTTGACTTTCGATGTCCTAAGAGTAGATTTCACTTCAAGAAGGGAGGCAAAGTCATAAGTGAAATTGGATGTGCAAGTCAAGTGATCATTTAGCAAAAAAAAGGGATGAATCATGCTACATGCATAATTTAATTTTAAAATATTGGTTCACAACTCACACTTGATAGCATCACATTCATTTATTTTAAAATTTATTTTTAAATTCAATGGTTAGGGATTTTGACAACACTAACATTGTTCACCATTGTTGTCAAGTATGATTATACAAATAAAATAATTCAAAATGGGCAGTTTCATTTGATTGGAACGACTTGCACTAAAATTGATAGTTTGAGGACCTGAGTGCAAAACAATTGAATGGGATCCAAGTGCTCTAGGTGTTAATGTTTGGGGACTACACGTGAAAATTTCTCTAATGTCAAAGAGGTGACGTCGATAATCGATTATCGTGCGGCTTTTAACCAAAATTCCACTTTTTTAGAGCTTTGCCAAATCCAAATCCGTCTTCGCCTTCAAACGACGGATCCGACATCTGGCCGTCCTATCGATCACTACGACATACTCCATAGTAATCTGAGACAGATATATACATCGAGAGAGGGTTTATAACAGTGTAGGATAGAGGAAAGATGGTGAGCAAAACAGAAGAAGATCAAGTGAATAGATTGGAGAGCCAAGTGGAGAATGGAGGAGGAGGCGAGTGGGAGTACCTCTGTCTCGTCAGAAAGCTGAAGCTTCGGCGCTCTTATAATGTGCTGAAGTATGGCCTGTCAATCCTTAATGACCCCAAAAAGCGATCTGCTATTGGCCCTGAAGGTATGATTTTGAATATGGGTCTTAGAAAAGATCAAATTTTGGATTATGGGATCTGGGTGTTTTAGATTGTTCCTCTATTTTTATTTTATTGCAGCTATTGAAACGAAAGAATGTTGGTATAAAATTTTCTGTTTGTATATCTGATAAATGTCAAGCAGCTGCTGCAGTAAGCATTATATGCTATTTCTGGTCGTTCTTTCAGTTATTCTGGTGAAATTTTGAGTATGACAAGCTTTCTGCAGCTTGTCTGAGACATGTTGATAGATATGATTCTGATGAATTATGCACAATTTCTTCTCATGATCACCTGGCAACCCCTCAATTCCATTCCTTTAGCGGTAACATTTGTATAATAATTTAGAACATAAGAAATTTGTAAACCCTATACAGTTCAGAGCAATAATTTAATTTTTATTTTACTTATTTTTCTTGTCCGCCTCCACCACTTTCAAATCAAGTAGTAGTTTACTTGGATAAAAAACAAAAAGAAGTATCTCACTGATAGGTGAAAGATTTCTAGCCTATTTTGAGTTTGCATGACGAGTACACTAGAAAAATAGGCATCTGAGGACATGAATGTCATAAAGATTCTGGTGATTAGTTCTCAACGTGATTAAACGTTATTTTGTGTAGTTCAACGTGACCTACCGTGTAATCTGAAGAAACTTAGAGTAGCCAAAGATTGTATCACAACATAGATAGAATTTACAATGTGGATGAGGGACAACCTCTTAGAAACCCGGCTGATATTCTCTTCATGTGTTCTTTGTAATAAGCAAAAAACTGTAAACAAACAGGTTGAAATGTATGGATCTCTGAGAGATTTTGATGTGGAGGTTGCATAATCAGCCATAATTAATAAATTAATTGTTAAGATGTAAACCACTCTCCTATTCATTTTCGCCCACATTCTCTTGAAAAGTTTTACGCCATGATTTCGTTTTGTTCCTTCCACCATAGTGGGATGATTGCAAGAAATGAGTACTCAGAATTGCTTAACGATTATTCTCTTCTAGTTTTTTGTAGCCTTTATTTTTTAATATTTTTGATCACTGACTTGTCAGTTTACTCAACGTAAAACATTACATCTTTTGACATGCATTTTTATATATTGCACGTTTTTCTTTAATGGATGAGATGTCAAATTGACCTATTCCTTTTTAACGTTTCCAAATGTAGAATGGACTTTGTATGAGCAAGTGGCTGCTGCAGCTATGGATTGCCAGCGTCTTGATTTGGCAAAGGTAAACATCTTTATTAAGTGCATCTAATAATTGAAAGTTGGATGACTTGCTGTTGTACATACACATTAATTTTGATAATTCCATCATAGAAAACTCCTAGCATGTGATCTATTATGTTTTTTTTTCGGAGAGTGCTCGAACTACTTTTTCAATTTGATATTATTTAGCGTGTATGGTTTGAAAGTGTAATTGTCCTCCTGTCTAACCTCTTAAGCCTCCTTCTTTTCTGGGGATTAAGTGTGCCACTTAGACTTGAGTCGTGTTAAATTTCACTTAGTGTGCCATAACCGACAGGGTGGGGTTAAGTCTAAGGAAGTGAAGTTTGCTTGTAAGAGCTTGGAAAGTCTTCAAGAGATATTCTTAATTACAAGAACTACAAAATTAGTGGCATCATTTCAAAGTGGGCCGAAAAGTTTACTTTTGATGTAGTGAGGTTGTGGAGGTGGGAGGTGAATATAACATCTTTGCCTTTAGTAGTGATGAATAAGTGTCAAAAGTACTCATCAAATTGGATAACCAATTTTTTGTTTTAACATGGTTAAGGTTATTGAGAGCTTTCTTTGAAGCTGGTTTGGAGAGGAACCTCACTATGTCGGCCCCTTTTTCTTACAAGGAAAATATCGTGCTAGTTTGATGAATTCCTTTTCCAGAATTGAAAGAGGTATCACTAGAGGATAGTTAATGCATGATATCTGATGAATGAAATGCTTTTCCAAAGGGAAATAAAATTTGAAGTCAAGTTACTAATGAGTAACTCAGACTTGAGGCTCGGGGGAGTCCCTCAAGTTCTTTATAAGTTTGACCATAGACTTACACTGTTTATCTATTAAAATTTTGCAGGATTACGTAAAGGTTTTGCTGGAAAAGTTTCCAGAGAGTAAAAGGGTTGGTGAGTTAATCTAACTGGCTGCTAAGTGCATTAAAATTACCTATACAACTAATACAAGTTTGTGCTTTATTGTGGTAGTGAATTATCATATAGACATGCAAGTCACTCCTGTAACTATATCCACATGAAGAGAAAACCAATAATCTCGTGCAGCATACATGTTGCTGGAGTCGTGCTTGTATGTAGTAATTATGTGTTTGGTTTCTCTTGTTTTTCCTGATTATACTTTTACTGACTTGAATTGAAGTTGATGATAGGGGTGGACACTGGTCAGGTTACCAAACCTACTTCCAACATTAGTTAAAAACTGACCTACCGTCTAGTTGATGATACATTTGATTTTATAAATCATCCGATTCCATGAAGGAAAATATCATATATCATTAATTTCAAATGCTTATGGTCACATATTTTTCCTCTACATGGTTTCTTTCAATTTCATCATCTAAAGCTTGATATTGATTTTGTTATAATTGGATATCTGGAGAATGTAGATGATAAAACAATCATTTTATAGCATTAGGCTTTCTTTCCATGTTGCTATATGATAGGATGATGGTTCATACTTGTGCTTGTTGCTGTTTGAGAAATTCTTCCATCAAAAAGAGTATTGGGCCTTGATCATATGCTTGGAGTAATGACTTGGTTGATACATAATGTGAAAGAACATTTGATCAGAAACTACTTAATATGTTCTTAACTCAAGAATTTTATGGATCTCTTAGATATTGGAAACAAGAAACATCATTTGTCGAATATTAACAACTTGAAGGCTAGTTGAACAACCAGAGAGCTTCCGTGATCTGGTTGGTTATAGTGGAAACCTTTGGTTTATTGGTTTCTCCTTGTGGGATTTTGACATGCTATAGTTGGTTTTGCATTTTAAGTATAGTGTTACTTGTCTTTTCTTGAAATTGGAAAGTGGATGTTAAATTTTGACCTTTTAACATGGCGTCCTTTTCTAGTTCCTTCTTTTGGGTATACTCGCTGGTGTTTTGGGTTCTGATCTTGAATGCGCAGGTAGAGGCATAAACTGGCGGCCTTAGGCGGCTTGATCCATCATCCTCCATACTGGCCCAACCCAAGAAAATCCATGCACCCACCTGTGCCAAAACTATTTTGGCTTTTTGGGAGGTTTCTTTTTTCTTTTCTGAAAATTACCATAAAATTTGAAAAAAGCAAATTTTTTTATCGACCCTCATGGGGTTGGGCAATGGAGTTTTTTATCCTGTTGGTTGGGCTCAACACTCCACTCCTCTTTACATATATATGCACGTGTTTATTTTGTTCATATTTCTAGCACTTAATTATGTTGGTGTCGAAAGATATCTACAAAGGGAAGGGAAGCCATAAAATGGTCTTCACATATCTAAAGTATTTGTTAGGAAGGACGCTTCATATATTGGGCTACAAGTATGTTATGATAAAGATTACGTTGTATTAAGTGGATGAAAGTGTGTCGAAACATTTTGAATTTTATAGCTCTGTGATTGGCACAGATGCCGTTTCTTGAAGCTTGTAGTTGACATCTGCGAAGTATTGAATATTTCATTACATCTCAAGGATATTACTGCATTCGAGTTATCAGTGAATGATTCTGAATTCTTTGTTAGGATGTATATTATACATCCCATTAACATAAAAATGTGGTGTTATTTTATTGGGCTAATATTTTTTTAACTGATATTTCAGTGACTCAATTTGTTGAACAGGGTTACCACTTCAATTTTGTCCTTAATTTGCTGTAATCTTTCCACTTTTTTTTTAAAACTTATTTAACTTCATAAAATGAGGTTAACGACTGTTTGGGTAAGCTGATGTCGACAATTTATTTAGCCCCTGTTTGGTTTAGATAAAAATTAGTACATTTTGATAAATGTTGATGGAATATGTGATTGAAAAATTGTTGATCCCATGAAATGTGTGGTTAAAATTAATAGTGGACTTTAACTTAGATTTTAATCAACTTTTTTAGCTGAACCTAACAGGGGCTAAATTTTGTCTTCTAATTGTTTCTTGAGTTCAGAAAAATGGCTTTATATTGCTCATATTATAAGTTTTGTTGTGATATGATCACAGGTAGGCTGGAAGCAATGTTGCTCGAAGCTATGGGATTATGGGAAGAGGCAGAAAAAGCTTACTCAAGCCTTCTGGAGGATAATGAGCTTGATCCGGTAGGTGCAAAAATTGGAAGATAATCATTTTTTGGGTTGGGGTGATGGGGGTTGGGGGTGGTGTTATTCTAGTGCAGTGAGAGCATTTTTTGTTACTTGCTTATTTTACTTATAAGCAGGAGAGAGAAAAGTATCCCCTCTCATATTTTCCCCCCCTTATAAGTAATATAAGCGACCAAACATACTCTAAGTAGTGCGAGGGAAAAGTTCCAGTGTGGCTTATCGAATGCTTTAAATAGAAGTTTTCTGAATTTTGTTGCATTTATCAAAGTAGGAGGATTAATGCACCCACCATTGAAGAATTCTGAGTTCTCATGGCCAGACTCGAGCCAACGTTGTTTGTTCTCAGTCTCTATTCACTATCAAATGGAATGGTGAATTCTGAGTTCTCAAGGCCAGACTCGAGCCAACGATGTTTGTTCTCAGTCTCTATTCACTATCAAATGGAATGGTCTTTTCTCCGGATGTCGTCCAAACATGTCTTGCTGCAGAAAGTTTCAAATCATTGTGGGGAGTGGTTTTTTCTCCTTAACTGTAATCCATATATTAATCCAATATGTTTCATCAGGTGCAGAATCAATTAATATGAGACAGTTATTCGAAATACTTTGCAGCAGAACATGTTGGGGGACATAAACAAACAACGTTGGCTCTTGAATTTGACCTTGAGAACTCAGAATTCTTCAACGGTTGGTGCATCAATTTAAGTGGTGTGGTTCAAGAGGTCTTAGGCAAAGAGATCCTTTGTCTCTTCTATTCACCTTTGCATCCCACATTTTAAGTAGGCTTTTGTATTAAGCTAAAGTTGGTGGATGTGTGTGGGACTTCCAAGTGGGGAAGAGGTGTTGAGGCTCTTTCTGAATTTAGAAGCTTTCAGTTCGATGTTGATTTGAATATTAACTTTAGTATAAGTATTTTGGTTGGAGTGAAGATGGAAGAAGAAGGCAAGGCAACTTCTTTGGATTGTGATGAAATTCCAATTTTTTGAATGGGTAGAAGGCCTTTTGTGAGGAGGGGGATTCACATGGTGTGGTTGGAGAGGATTTTGATTTATTTTCTCTGTTTAAGATACTAGAGAAGGTAGTTTCATTTATAGAGAAATTGTTTAGAGACTTCATTTGGGAAGGACAATGGGACAGAGATGCACATGTGGCTTGGAGTTTGGTTTCAAAATTGAATTGTACAGGTGTCTGGGTATTGGAACTTAAAACACATTAATGTGTTGTTAGACAAGTGATTAGGAATATTCTCATTGTGACAAGAATCTTAGGGTGCTAAGGAAGTGTGTGTAAGAAGTGGGTAGAGTTGCATCTAGGAATATTTGGAACCGTGTATTACAAGTTACTCCACAGTTTCTTTTTGTACAAGATTGGAGGTTGGTAATGGGTAGAAGATTGGATTTTTGAAAGATGTGGAAGAGGGGTGGGTAGTGGGTGGTGGTGGGGGTCTTTCGATACTAATTTCCTTGGCTATTTTGTTTTACTTCCATTCCTAAAGTTTTTAATTTGGCCCTGTTGGTTTAGCTAAAAAAAAAGATTTTTTTAATAGATTTTAATAAAAACTAATGAAATGTGTGGTTATAAAATTGATAAAAGTTGTAGGTCCCATGAAATGTATGGTTGAAAATGAGTTTAAGGAAAAATGAGTTTTAGAAAATAGGGGCTTTGTTTCTTGTCAGTGTCTTATGACGGAACAGTTGGAAGAACTAATTATTTTGCTCAATGAATTAGAGGGTTACCCAAATTGGGTAGATTCAAATAATGAGAGGGTTTGGGTCTAGATTCTTCTGGTCTTTTTCCTTACCAAAATCATTTTATCTCTTCCTTAGTGATTCTTCCGAAATACCTCATTCATTCCTATTAAGTTCAATTCATTTGGAAGTTGTGTATACCCACCAAAGCTGCATTTTTTTTTTTTGCTTGGTTAGTGGTTCATGGTAAGTTAAAACTCCACTGACATTATCCAAAAGAAGAGACTGCATCCCTTTGTCTCCTTCATGGTGTTTTTAGTGGCATAGGGATGTTGAATCGATTTGATTGCACAGTGTTGTGTTCTGAGTTGGCCTTGAGGTGTTGGACCAAGTTGTTTCTGGAATCAGAGATTGATTGTGTGGTGTATGGAACCTGTTTTTCCATGATGTCTCAGTATCATGGTGGTTTTGGCTTGGCTGGAGAAGCTAAAATTATTTGTAGTCTACAATTTAGCTGTCCTTTTGGTTTTTATGGCTATCAATGAATGGTAGAATTTTTGAGGGTCTGGCACCAGACTCCGGGTTTGAGTGGCATAGGATTATATTTTCTGCTTATCTTTGGATGCCTACTAAGATTTTAAGCTTCTGTCCTGATTAGATTGGGAACTTGTGTAAGGTCTAGCCTTCTGTGCTTGTTTCTAGTGTTAGTGGATGCCTTGTTCTCTTATTTGTGCTTTTTATATTTTCCAATAAAAGTTCCCTGTTTCTAGTAAGGAAGCATGCATTTCTGTTGGAATAAGTCTCATCATTCATGAGTAAAATGTGTATGGTTTTTGTTGTCAGAGGTGAATAGAAGAGTTTGTTTAATAACAGACCCTTACCTTATAATTTTATCATGCAGGTAATTCACAAGAGGAGGGTGGCCATGGCAAAGGCACAGGGCAACATATCCGGGGCAATTGAGTGGCTCAACAAGTATCTCGAAATGTGAGAAAATCTTCAAAGATGCATACTTTAGATGTTTTGAAAATGTCGAGTATCTCTGACTGGTGGGTCTTTCATCAGATTCATGGTAGATCATGATGCATGGAGGGAACTAGCTGAAATATACGTGTCCCTACAAATGTAATCTTTCTTTCTTCTTCTTCAAATTAACATGGTGTGACCATGGGGAAGTGTTAACAATCTATTTAAAATGCTCCGTATATTTGGGGTATATATTACCAAGAATTTATCTATACTTCTTTATTATAATTTTGTTTTTCTGGTTATAATTAGGTATAAGCAAGCTGCCTTCTGCTATGAGGAGCTAATTTTATCTCAACCTACTATACCATTGTATCACCTGGCCTATGCTGATGTAAGTAGCTCTTCAAGATGCGTTTCTCATTTTCTCTTAAACTGATGATAAATTTATTTATGAATATGCTCACTGCACATGCAAGTTACATATTAGATTTTCTTTCCCCTTTTCTTTTTTTCCTCCAAAGTCTGCAAGATTGCAGGCTTTTAGCTTTGCTCGTAGTTGATAGGATGGTCTCCACAGAAATTTATAGCCTACTATCAGGGTTAAAATATTCGTGGCATTGTCTCGCTTTGGTTACCTAGCTTCTTAAAAAAAAAAATGAGTTACTAAACTTAATATTTGTTTCAATGTAGGCATTCCGTCTACTAACGCTTTCTTAAACAAAAATGGAAGCTTACTGACTAATAGTGAATGAAAAGAAGTTTGCTGACCAAATTGGAACAAAGCTATAAATTCAGCGACTAATAGATTAACCTGTCTACTATGTCTAAGAGTGTTTGATTGGCATAGAAAATATATCTTAGAAAAGAAAATATTTTCCTTGTTTTGAGAAAAACAAAAGCCTACTCCTCCCAAATGTTTTCCTTAAAAACAAGGAAAATTAGGCATATTTTTAAAAGTTGGAAAATATTTTCCATGGAAAAAAATAGCAATCAAACACTTCAAATTAGGAATTTAGGTGATAAATCGATATTTTCCATGGAAAATAAATGCAATCAAACACGCCCTAATAGTTAACAATAAATGACCATTAGATAGGATTGCTGTCAAAAAAAGTCTGATCATGAAATACGATGACGAGGCAGTCAAGACTAACCAGCCGTGTGTGTCCTATTGTGAACTATATGATTTATCTGACATCTCAGTAAGGTATTGAAAGTTTTGTCTGGAAAATTGCTGTAGCTACTAATTGTGATTCTTAAGCCATTTCCAGTCTGCTCTGGTGCAATCTATGTTTACCAAAATGACCAGACTTGCTCCCTGACTATTGATGCATTTTTCTCATAATAAAAAGAGTACTCGCTGAAGTCCATTTTGTTTACATGAACAGTAGCCATAATATTTGAAGAATATAATTTATACGACAGCAGTTCTGATGTCAATCACATGGCCTTCTGGTTCAGTGTAGCCAGAAATATTGGTGAACTGCTGCATATCTGATGAACACTGTTTGTCAAAGATTATTTCCCGAAACAAGTTGAAAGGTGATAAAAGGAAAAAAAAATTAAGTCCATGTTAGGACATGAGAGGAAATCTGTACTTAGGCCCCCCAAGAAGAGGATAATTTCTTGTTCCAGTATATGGTGCCCTAGACTCCCTGATGCCAAGAGGCCATGACACAATATTTTGGTTCTGCGCTTTATTATCTTAACAGATTCTTTGAAAACTTTAAGGAAAATTATACATCAATGTCTGTCTGTGTATATTTTTAATGATAAGTGTGATTAAATCATTTCATTTTCTTTCTTGGCTCTTTTTGGTTGAACCCAGGTGCTCTACACACTTGGAGGACTTGAAAATCTTCACATGGCATATAAGTATTATGCTTCTACCATAGACTTAACCGGTGGCAAGCATACCAGAGCGCTTTTTGGCATATGCTTGGTGACTCGCTCTTCCTCCTTGGCTCCTCCTTTCTCTCTTCTTCTTATTCACGTCAAATTTAAATTTCATTTTATAGAATGCAATATCCATTTGACCATTTTCTTTATCCCTTACAACCTTGTGTAACTGGAAGTCGTACATTGCTGTTTCAGTGTACATCTGCCATTGATCAACTGACGAGAGGGCGTAACAAGGATGATAAGGAGAACTTGCAGCTGGCACCTCTGTCTGCGCTGGCTTTGGGGAAGGACTACAAGCAGAGAGCTCCCAACAAAGTTTCCATGCTTGCTTCTACTTTAAGAAGCTTGAAACTGTCATCATAACTACCAATTTTCTGTCCTAATAGACTCTTCATTTTGACTTCCCGTTTGGATATATGACTATTTGGATCATAGTTGCAAAGAAAGCATTTGAGAGTATATTAACTCGAGACACTTCAGTGCTAGCATTGCTCAGTTCAGTTCAGTTTATTGGTGTTACAATTGGAGAGAACTATTTTTATCTTTGAACAGAGTCCGCTATGTTTTCCATCTTTTAGCTAGAAGAGACATGATAGATGAAATTGATATTAAGAAATAGTTGGAGGACACGATTGAACTTTCCTAACTGTTGGAGGATGAAAATAATGTTAATTATTAATTAGAGGACCAAATTGAACTTCCGTAAGAAGGATGAAAATAATGTTAATTATTAATTAGAGGACCAAATTGAACTGTCATATTAGTTGAAGGAACATATTGAACTTCCCAAATAGATTAAGGTTGAAAGTGGTGTTAACTAATTAGCTTAAAGATCAAATTGCACTTCCCTAATAGTTTAAGGATGAAATTGATGTTAACAAATAGCCTGAGGATCAAATTGTACTTGCCTAATTTTCAAGTAATAGATAGAGAACCAGAATTGATCCTCTCTAATAGTTGATGGATGAAATTGATGTTAACTATTAGGTGGTAGATCAATTGATCTATCATAATGTCAAGGATAAAATTGAAGTTAACTGATAGTTGGAGGATCAAAGTGAACTTCCAAAATAGTTGAAGAATTAGATTGATGTTATTTAGTATATGTAGGATGAAATTGAACATTATCAATAGTTGAAGGATCAAATATTTTGAGGATGGAATTGTTATGAACTAAAAGATGGAGGATCCAATTTTATTTTCCCAATAGATGAATGACGAAATCAGTTTAAAATAAAAGAGGTCACAATTGGACTTTCCAAATACTTGTAGGATTAAATTGATTTCAACTCATAGTTAGGGGATCCACTTTGACTTAACAAATAGTTCAAGGACGAAATTGGTTTAAATATAAAATCTGAGGACCGAATTGGACGTTACAAATATTTGTAGAGGATGGAATTGTTATGAACTAATTGAAGGAGGATCCAATTTTACTTTTCCAATAGTTGAAGGAGGAAATTGGTTGAAATTTAGGCCGTGTCTGGGCGGAATTAGTATTGCAATTCGGACCGTTGGTAATCAAAAAAGGAGCCGTTGTACAATTTTTTTATTGAAAAATTCAGACACTCTACAGTACCAATTCAACCCACTGACACTTCCATTACCAAATTTACCTTTCCCATTTACACTTGTCAAAAGCTGCAAGTGTTTGTTTCAATTTTTTAATCTCAAAATGGTCCTTTTTTTTTTTCCCATTTCCAGAAAACGCATGCAAAGCTTTAGAAAATGAGCCCATCTGATTTGACCCAAAAATTGATTTTTCATTGCCAAAATCACTCCCAGACACCCTCTAAAAGTCAGAAGACCCAATTGGATTTCCCGACATTTGTAGGATGGAATTGATATCAAATAATAGTTAGAGGATACAATTTGATTTTGTGATTAGTTGGAGGATCTAATTTGACTTTCCGAATAGCTAGAGAACTAAATCTGTTTAAACTTATAGTTGGAGGAGCCAATTGGACTTTCCAAATATTCGTAGGATGGAATTGTTGTGAGCTAATAGTTGTAGGATACAATTTCACTTTCCCAATAGCTGGAGAACGAAATTGATTTCAAATAAAAGTCAGAGGTCACTGTTGGACTTTCCTAATGCTTTTGGATTAAATTGATTCTAACTCGTAGTTGGAGGATCCAATTTGGCTTTCAAATAATTGAAGGATGAAATTGGTTTCAATTAGAAGTCTGAGTATCCAATTGGACTTTCCAATTATTTGTAGGATGGTATTGTTCTGAACTAATAGTTGGAGGATTAAATTGATGTTAACAAATAGTTGAAGGATCCAATTTGACTTTCTCAATAGTTGAAGCAGGAAATTGGACTTGCCTTCATCCTCAAACCATTACGCCCATGATTGATAATTTTGAGGACTAGTGAATTTGAAAGAGTGATATCACTGGAACGTTTTCATTTCAATTTTGACAGCAATTCATGGGAGAAACTCAAAGCAACCACCATTCTTGATTGCTGCCAGAATTCTTGAGAGCCAAGCTTTCTTCTCTGGGTTTTCCCACTATTATGGATACGAAAATAATGGTTGAGAAATAGCATTCATGCCAAATGGAAGGTAATTTAATTTGGTATACATGTTCCCTGACCTCCATTTCAATCTTAAGAAAGTAGCCTAGGGGGCGAACCCCGGTTGATCTTTCAAAAATTTCTTCAAAAGGGCTCTGCTTTACGGGAGAGACCCTTTGAGAAATGAGGGCAAGCAATAGAAAGCATAGTCCCTCTCGCAAACTACAACTACTAGAACATGGTGAGATCACACAATTAAATTGAAATTGGTAATAAAATACAACATTCAAACATGTTACCTAACAAAAGATGAAAACTGAACCCTTTCAGACGTACATCTAGTTGCTATTTCTTTTCCATTAGCAGTTTAAGAACCCATACTAACAATTTTTTTCTGGAAATTTAGAATGGAACTAAAGATTGGTCAGTGTTAAATAACAATCTTATAATTAATATAAATTGCACGGATTTAAATAACTAAAAAGCTAAGACTTTTGATATTCATTTTCACCCTAAAATAGCAAATCTCATGGGCGTTTTCCAATCGAAAGTAGAAAATTTTGAAACTACAATACCGTAAAAATGTCTTAATAGATGGAATCCTGGAAACAAACAAAATCCACTAGGTGATGAAAGGATATGCAAATCTTAGGAGAAAAACTCTGATTTGCATAGTTACTCTTCCTCCTCAGCCTCATTCTCAGCAATGTTGAAGTACCTCAATTCATAGACAGTCCGATCCTTGTTAGATGCTATCACTCGGAGCCAATCACGTACATTGTTCTTCTTCAGGTACTTCTTTGTCAGGTACTTCAAGTACCTAAGCATCATATAACATGACAATGCATGATGTTCGAAATAATACACAAGATATCATGAGGTAGATCTAGAAGTATTAGCAAAATTATGAGCACGGCAAACAGTAAAAATGTGAATATCAAACATATATACAACTTGCAAGTCTTACAGACAATTTCATAACCTTAGTTTGAGTTAGTTCCCACTTGCAATAACCACCCCACCCCCCCTTTCCTCTTCCTACTATCACAGAGAGATGACTGGGTAGGGAGGACAAGGGATAAATGTAATGCCAATTTGCTGAAGCATTACATAGGCCTAAACATCAGTCCCCAAGTGCCATGGATACAGAAAAGAAAGAAATATAGGCTAATGGAAGGGACACATCACACTAAATAATTCAAACACATTAACACAAGTTCTAATTAATAGCAAAAAGCTCCATACTAAATGATGCTAGGGATTAAAAATCTATCTCCATTACA